TGTACAAGGATGGATTGACTTTTCTTTTTCTTTGTATCCGTTTAAAGGTCTGCTTTGGGAGCCTCTTTGGCCATACAAAAATTTCAGGTTTGTGATTTCATAAAGTAGGTTACAGCTATTCTTGGACTTCTTTTCCAAGCCCACAGTTCTTTAAAAATAGTTACAATAGTTTCTGTTCATCTTTAGATTTTTCTTTTCATCACTTATCTTTGAATTTCTCTTGCTCCTGTGATCTTCTTTAAAATTGTTACCTTTTACTTTAGTGAATCTCTTGATTTTTAGTGTTAGCTTGCTTCACCAGTAAGCCTATATAGGTAGGTCAGATTTTTGTTTCTTTATTTAATTTTTTTGGTACCAGGGATTGAACTAGATTTTTGTTTATTTTTAATGTGTTTTTTTCTGCTGTGTTGCTTAGTTCTCACTCGGTGGAGTTATATATTTATCTGCACATAACTTTGTCAGAGTTGCTCCTCCTGCCTTCACTAAACCCCTTTGGTGGTAACTGATGAGATCAGTTTGCATCCTTGTAAGCAGGCATTGTGTAGAAGTGCTGACTCTTAGAGCTTGAAGAGACCTTCAGAATAATCCACTGTAACCATAACCCCAATTCACAGATGACAAGGTTGTATGTGATTGAAACTAAAATTCAGACCCAGGAGCTTCCTTAAGTTTTTCTTCCACCCATACTATGCTGCTTAGCCACTTGGCTTTAGCAGTAAGCCAAGTGGGCTAGTTTAGTAGTAGAGTCTAGAACTAACCCTGAGTGTTGTGACTCATTCTCCAAATTTCGCTGTTACACCATGCCTCCCCTGTGTCCTTGTGTTCAGCTCAGGCTAAGAGGTAGAACATGACCTTCAGTCTACTCTCTCTAAGAAAGTTAACTTTTGTTTCTTTTGTTAACTGGAGGAACTAGCCCAGGTAGAGAATCTAAAAGGATTATTTCAATTGTGAGACAGTAATTTTGGTGGGCTGTGCTACTATCTTTAAAAAATGCTCGTTGAGGGCTGGGAATTTAGCTCAGCTGGGAATTTAGCTCAGCGGTTCCACCACCTGCCTCCCGCCACCTGCCACATAAGCTCAAGGTCCTAAGTTTGATCCCTGGTAAAAAAAAACAAAACAAAACAAGAAAAACCCTGCCCATTAAAATGCTTTGATATTTTCTGCTTCTCTGAGGAGAGAAGCATGTGAACTGTGCATACTTTCCTTCCATCATATCATCATTTGTTGCCACAATTTTCATCATAAAGTGCACGACAGTCTGGGAACCTAGAGGAACAAAATTATAGGATGTCCAAGTAATGAAATGCGCATTTTGCTTCCATTTCAGGAATTAGTAGCTCAACTTCCTCCTGACTACTCCCCTTCATTACTGCTTCAGTGCTTGCCTCAACTATTCTTTGTTTTTTGGGTTTTTTTTTTTAGTACTGGGGATGGAACTTGGGTCCTTGCACTTGAGAGGCAAGTGGTGGCATGCCTTAACTTTTAATACTTATGTGTATCATAAAGAAGCTGCTCAAGTGAGGTTGTTCTGGCACCACATGCTAGGTGATTTAGTGTGCTTCTTTTTGGAGGTCATTTATCTTTTCTCTTTGTAGCCATTGTTAAATGGAGTCAGTAGAGATTTGAATGATGTATATATAACAAATTACCAAAATTCAATGATGTTTAGTTTATAATCAGTAACACTTTAGTGAAAATAAATCATAGATTATTAGATTTCAAAAAGGCCATAGGATTTTGGAGAAGGGCATTTATTTACTGATGAAAGGGTAAGTAGCTTGCCCAAAGTTACATGTCATGACTGTCATTTTGTTAAAAGGCTGATTTCAAAATCTAGATCCCCACAGTCCTATTCTAATGTTTCTTCTAAAGCCATTCTGACTCAGCTATTCTGATGTGGTTTGAGCAAAGTGAAACTGACACAAATTGGTAATAATATGAAGTGCCTCTTTTTCATTTGATTTTTTCATGTACTGGCTGATTCACCAAGCATTTGATTAGAGATAATATACCAGTTATATTTATTAGCAACTTTGTACCCAGCTGCAGCATAGCATAGCTCTTAAGAATTTTATACAGATTTTACACACACACGTATTCTTTCTTTTTTTTAAATTGAGTTTTTGGTACATTTTAGGTATATAGTACAGTTCCATTCATTATTAGGATCTTGTACCTTTACATGACAGGTCTTGGTTCTCTTTTTTTTCCCCTTGTCCCTGCCCTCCATTCACACCCTCCTCCCCTCCCCATTTACAAACACTTTATTTCCATTTTTTCATTTTCTCATATTTTTTTCTTTTCCCTTATTACCTTTCCCCCACCCTTCCCACTTTCCCGATACCTTTAGCCCTTTTCTTCCTATTTCACATTGTTAATTATCTCATTAGGATCTTATGCACACACATATTCCTTACTTAGAGTACTGTCAGTTTTCTGAATCCTCCATTTTTCATAGTCATATATGATAGAAACAACTCAGGTGAGAGGTGAATAAAGGAAAATAAATTTAGTTTGCCTTATTACATAATAAGCAGCCTTCTGAGCTTGAGAGAGAAGAGTGAAAGTGCAATACTTGATACCAAGAGTGTCACAGTCAAAATGCAGGCACACTAAAAATATTGTATAAAGTTACCTTCAGACTATGTGTATAAGCTAAATGAGAGGCATAATGAATTCTCTTTAGAGTTGAGTCCCAACCCCATGTTACATTATGTATGTGTACATATTCCAAAATCTGAAGTGCCATTTCAGATAAAGGACCCATAATGTGTATCAGAAGAAGTAAGGCAATCGCTGAAAGCAAAGCCCAGAGAGTACTATGACAAGGAATAGTGGGGTAAGGGCCTACTTGCTTTGCAGTCTGGCAAAGGCCCTTGAGGATCAATATTTCAAAGAAACCCAAAGGAGCCAGCAGGACTGTAAAGAGCTAAAGTGCTGGGCGGAACCTTCTAGACACACCGAACAAATATAAGGTGTACCACTGAAAAATTAAGTTTAGGTGTATTTTCGGAATGAAAGACTAAGGTTAGGGAATGGGAAAGAAGCATGAGATGGGGTTTTCCAAAAGCTGCTTTTAGAGACTGATAGTGGTCCTGGCTGTAGCAGCAGCTGGGGCTGCTGTTGCATTCTAATAACTATCAGATGCCACTTCTTGGGCTCAGCTCCAACTTGCAGAACAGCTAGCCTTTTGTCCTCTGGCAGTCTTCTAAGCCTCTTGGGGAAGCACCCTGATTGCCTCTCACCCATTCTTCCTACTGCTAGATAGCATCTATTGTCATGTTCTCTTCTAAATGGGACCAGTTCCCTGCTTCTGCCACCATTAGCCTTTCCTACCACTGGTTCTTGTCTTTCTGTAGGCGTAATCGCTGTCTTTTTTTTTCCTAATCTGTATTCTGGCATTCTCCAGCCACTTTCTAAAGTAGAATACTTTGCTTATGTAACCAGTTCAAAAAGGAATATGTACTTTATATTCCCTCTTTGTTACAGATATTCCAGTGCTATAAAGTCCCTGCTTTTATTAGTTTCTTTTTCTTTTTTTTTTTTTTTTTGGTACCGGGGATTGAACTCGGGTCCTTGCGCTTGCAATAGTTTCTTTTCTTTAAGTACAGTTTGAAAGGAGGTTGGGAGAGGGGACTGGGATAAGTTGAGAAGCCCTTGTGGCTCTGTGTTGATACTCTCTTCTCCCTCTTTATCCCCCTCGCCATTCAGCCTTTCCCTTCTTGTGTGCCTTGCTTAGAAAGCATGTCTTCCTAGAAAGCATAAACTCCATTTTCTTCGTCCTCAGATTTGAAGATATGCCTGAATTTCAGGTCATACAACTTAATCTCCCAAGCTAGGATTCTGGCCCTTAGACCAAACTTTGAGGCCAAATGTGTTTTAGAATTCGTAACTGGGATGTTAGAATGGAAATGTGGCATGTTGTATAGTGCCCTGTAATAAGTAGTATTTCTATAGCACAACATATGAATAGTCATATTAGGTTTGATAAACCAAAGATGCCATAAGTCGTCTCGTGTCAGTTCAGGTTTACTTCTAAATGAGTTTATCCAAAACACAGAAAAAAATATCAGTTTTTAAACTATTTTGGGGATTGGGATAGGGATTATGAACCTGCACCTTTGTGTGTGCATATGAAAAGACAGTGGTTAGGACTTCTCACGCTGTCTGAAGATATCATAAGCACTCATTTTAAATGAAATTTTGGCTGCTGGCTCTCCTGCCCGTTAATGCCTGAGAGTTAATGTAACTTCTGCCCTTCCTTCATGTCTGTGGAGGTTATCATGAGCGAAGTTGATGGTATTGAAGAACAGATGCTGGTTCTTCATCCCAGAACAGCTACACCATCTGGGATGGACAGATGGACATGCCACAGGAAGGCAGCAGGAACCCACAGCAGCTGCTGTTCAGAGGAAAGATCTGAAACTCTTAAGAATTTCTGAAATTTGGCTTCAAGCTGGATTGTGGATGCCTGACACATGACCTGTATTCACTGAGGTCATGGACATGCAGCCTGAGGAATAAAATGCTCTTGTAAGTTGAAGCTTGAGGCCAACCTTAAAGACATCAATTGCTACAGATGATCGCTGCACAGAGGCTCTGCATACTGATATGGTTGATTCTCATAACTCTTTTAAGTACCTTCTGCTCCAGTACAGAGAGCTAGAGATAAAACGATACTTGGTTCATGTTACTTCTATTAATTTGTGTTTCTACACATATACTTTGCAGTAAGGAATATAAGAAAATACAAGCAAACAGTCAAGTTCAGGCTAGTCAAGTTCAGGCTAGTCAAGAAAACCTTTTCTTTAAGTTTCTTATTCTTGATCCTTTCAATAAGAAAATATAGTATTTAACAGTCTATCTGTGGATTTCTTAAGCAGAAGTACTCAAAAGTAGAATGTTAAATTGGGATGTTTTCAGTGTTCTTAAAATTCTGTGACTAGTACTAGTGTTTGAATTTTCAAAATTTTCTTTCTTCACCATTGTTTACATTCTAGAAAATGAAGAAGTCAAGGAAACGACTTTACGAGAGCTTAAAATGCTGCGTACCCTTAAACAAGAAAACATCGTGGAGCTGAAGGAAGCCTTCCGTCGGCGGGGGAAATTGTACCTGGTGTTTGAATATGTCGAAAAAGTAAGCCATTAATTGCCAGTGTGCAAATTTGCCTGGTTCTTTTATTTAGTGCCATTTCTGATATTATTAAAGAAAGTATTATTATTTAGTATGATTTGTCAATGTCCCCATAATCTGAGAACTTTAAAAATGAAACTATTATCCATCATCATTAGAGGTCCTGAAATATATATAGGGATAGTATAAAGTTTAGCAATACAAAGATAATCTTATGTTTAAGCATTATGTTGATTTGGCTTCTGAAGTTTTAGAATCAATGTCCAAGTGATTTTTTAGACTTATTTTAATTAAACTCAAAGCCTCTGAGGGAGAAATGGGTAAACTGATGGTACAGGAGGTATGTATCAGATCCCACAGAAGAAAAGAAAAGCATTCATTGTTCCAGTTGTCTTCAAATTAAAAAAAAAAAAGATTATCTTAGTGACTTTGGCAGGGGCGGTAATACTAGGGATTGAACCCAGAGCCTTCGCACTGACCTATATCCTCAGCCCTTTTTTGTATTTCTTTTGTGTTTTTGTTTTGAGACAGGGTCTTAGTAAGTTGCTCAGTCTGGGCTGGAACTTGTGATCCTCCTGCTGGTATTACAGGTATGCAGGTAGTAAAAATTTAATGATGTACCCTAAGGGCAAATATATGCTGCCGTAATCGATGTTAGGTGCTTGGAGATTTCTTGAAAAGCAGCTGACATGCACATTAGTTGTGGTCAAGAATTTAACAATAGAGTATAACCTCAATATGCATCCGTTTTTCTATGAATGACTCTAATTTCTCATTCTTTATGGCTGAGTAGTATTCCAATTTATTAAAAAACCACATCTTCTTTATCCAGTTTCCAACTGATGGGCAAATGGGCTGTTTCCAAGTTTTAGCTATTACAAACTGTGCCGCTATAAACATGGGTGCGCATATATCACTGTGATGTGATTCCTTTAATTCTTTTGGAAAGATACCCAGGAGAGGGATAGCTGGGTCAAATGGAACCTCTAATCCTAGTTCTTTGAGGTATCTCCATATTGATTTCCATACTGGTTACACCAGTCTACACTCCCACCAACAATGGGGAAGGGTTCCTCTTTCCACACAACCCCGCCAACATTTGTTATTGTGTCATTTCTTGATAATAGCCATTCTTTGTGGGGTGAGGTGGAATCTCAGTGTTGTTTTCATCTGCATCTCTCGAATGACCAGTGATGTGGAACATTTTTTCATATGTTTACTTGCTGCTTTTACTTGTCTGAGAAATGTCTGTGCATTTCAGATGTCCATTTTTGAATTGTGTCTTTATATTTGGGGGGCTGATTGTTTTGAGTTCTTTATATATTCTAGATAATAGTCCTTTGAGGAGCAGCTAGTAAAAAATTTTTACGACATTGTAGGTTGTCTTTTAATTCTGTTCATGGTTTCTTTTGCAGTGAAGAAGCTTCTTAATGAGATCCCACTTGTTGATTCTTTCTGCTAGTTCCTGTGCTACTGAGGATTTTTTTCATAAAGTCTTTTCCTATGCCAGTGTCTTCAAGAGTTCTGCCTAACTTATTTCCCAGCAAATTTAGTGTCTCACACATGTGTAAATACCGAATAGTTTCTCTGGTGTGAAAAACTATACTTGTAAATAAAATCCTAATGGTATAATTGACAACATGAAATAGGAAGAAAAGGGCTAAAGATATAGGGGAAGTGGGAAGGGTAGGGGAAAGGTAATAAGGGAAAAGACAAAAATATGAGAAAATGAAAAAATGGAAATAAAGTGTTTGTAAATGGGGAAGGGAGGAAGGGGTGAAGGGAGAGCAGGGACAAGGTGAAAAAATGAGAACCAAGACCTGTCATGTAAAGGCGCAAGATCCCAATGATGAATGTAACTGTATTGTATACCTAAAATGTACCAATAAACTCAATGAGGAAGAAAAAGAATCTAACAGTAGAAGAAACGAGCCAGAGGAACCTTTTGGAGGTTTCCTTGATGAGCAAATAGGTGGTCCTGCTGATTTCCTATGCTACATCTAATGAAGATTGTTGCAGGAAAATTGCTTTAGGTCATTTCCCAGGTTCTTGTGCCATAAATGTTGCCATTGTCATCATCAAGTGGGAAGCAGTGTTGTCAAGATAACTGACTGCTAATGCAGGCTAAAATTCATTCAGCCATTACAAAGTATTTTGTGAAATAATATATATGTAGTAATTTCATTACTAGTAAAACTTGAAAAATGCAAGAAGACTTTATCATTTTAAAGAACTACTTTGCTCATTTTCCAACATCTGTTTTAAGTTTCCTTTTCTGTGTTAGATCACTGATGAACCTTTTAGGCCTTCCGATGATAATGAATGGCCTGTTGTGGCACACATGTCATAAGTTTACCACCTCTGGATTAGATATTCTCCAAAAGTACTTTCCCTACCAAAATAAATTTAGAAGTTGAGTTTTTAAAAGAGTTTTAAGAAAAAGATTCTACAGAAAATCAAATGTTCTTCATTTTTTTAGTTGTCACAATCATATAGTTTACAGATTCAGTGTCAAAAATTAAAATTTTGACAAATCTATTGTTTTGATTTATCTTTTTAAATTTCTAGCCCATTCATTATTATTGTTCATGATAAGTAATAATCAAATATAACAAATGGAGAGCTCACCTCTGTGTATCTGTTTCCTCACTGGGAAAAGGAATTCGGTGTGTCTTTCTTTCTGCTGGTAGGTAGCAGAGCTGTTACAGAACTCCAATCTTCTGATAGCCAGGCCTGGGCTTCTTCTCTGCTCCTGTGGTTGTCACATGAAAAGTGACTATCATACCTGCCCATCAGTGGCAGTGCCTCACAGTTGACTCTGAGTCTTAGGAAGACAAGCAAAGGATGCTTTAAGAGAGTGATGGCGAACCTTATAAAGCTTGCAATGATACAAACAGCTGGCTTCAGCTCACGTGCCGTAGGATTCCCACCACTGCTTTAAGAGTTAAGAGGTTGGAAACAGAAACCCACGATTACATTGCCTTAGAACAAAATAGAAACTTCTTTTTCCCTCACATACGAATATAAAGGTAGGCAGTACAGGAGTGGTACGATGACTCTGCCACACAGTAGAAAGTCCAGGCTGCTTCTGCTTTTTTGCTCCACCACTTCTGAGATGGGGACCTTGTCCTTAAGTCAGTATAGAGCTCCAACTGTCACATCCCATTGGCCAGGACATAGTTGAATGGTCACCTTACCTGCAAGGCAGAAAGATGTGCTCTTCATTTTGGGCCGCTAGGTCCCATCTGAAAATTGTATTCCTATGAAATAAGAGAAGAATGGCTATCAGGGAACAGTATCTCTGCCACTACCACTGAGAAACCTAGAGCAGGATATGAAGTGAGGGATACAATTTGTTTTCTGTACTACAGAGTCCTCTTATTCCTCCCGTGTATTTGGGACCTCCTGTATATTTATCAGTAAAAAAAGGCAATTAAAGTGGAGAATCATAACAAATAATACATACATTCTTTAAACAATTTAATTTTTTTTAATTGAGTTTATTGGTACATTTAGGGATACAGTACAGTTACATTCATTGTTGAGTACTACAGACCTCTTATTCCTCCCGTGTATTTGGGACCTCCTGTATATTTATCAGTAAAAAAAGGCAATTAAAGTGGAGAATCATAACAAATAATACATACATTCTTTAAACAATTTAATTTTTTTTAATTGAGTTTATATT